GCCACCCCCGGGGCCGCAGCCCGCAGGTGCTGCGACTTGCAGAAGTCACGTGTGCGGCCGCCCCGGACGGGGCCCAGGGGACGAGTCCGACGCAGGTTGGGTCGCTTGAACGTGATGTTCATTGGAAGCCTGCAGTGGGTCAGGCACCCCACTACTGCCTGGGGTGCAGGCACAGCGGGGACACAATCCCTGCAGACAGGAACCATTTAGAATGAGGAGGGTCGCGAGGACTGCTTGGATTTGCTAGCCAAAAAGCGCCCGATCGTCTCAAGGAAAGCCATTTTAGTACGTCAGGAGCCACCCAGCCACACCGATGGGAAGAAGATGGAGCAGTAATCATGTGGAGGAGAAGAGCAGAGGGGATGCCACCTTTACGCCTGGACCTCTGTTTCCAGTCCTCCGTCTTTCCTTTTGTTTTTGCCCCTGGAAAGTTGCAGAAATTACCGTGTGTCTATGCCAGCATAGCCAAAAAGAAATAGTGTATAATGGAAGCCTTATGTATAATGAAATTTTCTAGTAGCCATATTTAAGAAGCAAAGAGACATAACTTTAATGATATATTTATCTCAGTATTTCCAAAACACAATATTTGAATATTGTTGAGAACTTATGCTTTTCCATGTTTTCAAAATCTCATGTGTATTTTATACCTGAAGCACATCTTCAATCAAACTGACCACAGAAAGTGTTGTGGCTTCGATCATATTGGGCAATGCAGGTGTATCTTAAGGGAAAGATCAGGTGACATTGAGATAGTTTCATCCTATCAATTCTCTGAAAAGGGAAGAAGAAAACATGGAAGATGGCAAGACTTTGGACATGTTATTAGGAGGGACCCGTCCCTGGAACAGGACATTATGTTTGGTAAAGTAGATGATGAGGGGGAAAAAAAAAGAACTCTGAGTGAGATGGATTGTCACGGTGGATGTAGCAACTGGCTTTAAACAATATAGGACCATGCTATGAATCAGAACCAACTCGATGGCACCTATCAGTAACAACACTTGATAAATTTGAGGTGGGAAAGCAAAGAAAAAGTTGAATTTAAGTCTGTCTTTAATTTCAAAGTAGGAGGCCAGGAAGGAAGTGTGGAGTGGAGAAGAGGTCTCTTGAACTAGCATCTACAGCACCACTTGGGTTCCTGTCTCAATTTTCTCCTAGACCCATGCAATCAGAATCTGCATGTTAACAGGATCTCTAGAGATTCTTGTGCTTGTTGGTCCGAGAAGTACGAGGGGATTTCAAGAAGTTGATGGAAAAAATGGAATTGGAAGATAATGGAATTTTTTCATGGAATTTTTGGAAGTCCTTTCCTGTGCCGTGACTGCAAGGTAGGGAGTGATGAGGTTTTATAGGAGCCACCTTATGGAATGGAGAAAGAAGTTTGGCAGGCATTAGGGAGTGTTGGTTGGGATCCCACTGAGATGAGAGGCTATTGGTGTAGGAGAGTGCTCTTTGCTAGGTTCTGTGGTTTCCTCTAGTAGGGTTCACCAGCTTACTTAAAAAGGAACAGAATGAGAATGATTGGGCTGATTCAAGCATGGGAATGAGCTGAGCAGGTAGGCAAAAGCAAAGGGGTTGAAAGTGGCTGAAATGATCAGTGAGGAAGAACTGAAAGGACAAGATACTGATGAACCAGGAGACAACAGGATGGTCAAGTGGCTGGGATGGTTGACGGGATAGCAGAGCAGATGACATGAGGATAAGGGTATCCCAGTGGTCCAGCTGGGCACAGCGGTGGGGCCAGAGAGTGAACTAGATATAGAAGCGGCGGCTCCTAGAGGTAATCCTGGCCCCACTTCCTATTTCTGTACGGATTTCTTTTCTATTGCTCTTCAGTTTCACACAGTAGTTCTAGTTGTGTCTGGAGTAGCATGGTATTGGATTAAATAGGTTTATTCTGTCAGTCTTTAAGCCTTCAATTCAGAACAAAATAAAAACAGCTGTCATGTTGTCATTGTTCCCCACTCCCCACCCCCAACAGCATTCTCAGCTTATTCTACTGCTACTGGACGGTTTGTAAACAGGTAGGTGCCCTGGGCCAGAGCATAGATCTATGAGGCACTTACCTGAAGATTGGGGCTCATGACACCTGGAGAGGATTTGTGGCCTCCCAGAGGTTGAAAGCAAACATCAGCCTGAGCTCTGGACGCTTGGCTCTAGAGCTGACATCTTAGGGGATAGGCCAGAATGCTGCTTAGGATCTAGTGTCACCCATTTACCACTTTCCCTAAGTAATGCTCGGTTCGTCAAAGTAGTCATCTTGGATTTTGATGCCTGTATACTCCACAATGAGGCTACCCAAGCTGTAGAACTCTAGGTTAAACTGGGCAGGCAGCTAGCATCCCTAAGGGCTTCTCAATTTGGATTCGGCTTCCTTCTAACATCAGTGTCCTGTTCCATCTCTCCACTGCACAGACTTCTGAATGGGACTCTGAGTGTCTGGCATCCCTGCAGCCCCTTCCTCTCCCTACACCCCCAGCCTCAAATGAGGCTCACTTGCAGACAGCAGCCATCTCACTCTGGACGGTGGTAGCAGCTGTGCAGGCCATAGAGAGAAAGGTGGAGGTCCACAGCCGGCGACTCCTGCACCTGGAGGGGCGCACAGGGACGGCCGAGAAGAAGCTGGCCAGCTTCGAGAAGACAGTGGCCGAGCTTGGGAACCAGCTGGAGGGCAAGTGGGCTGTGCTGGGCACGCTGCTGCAGGAGTACGGGCTGCTTAAGCGGCGGCTGGAGAACATGGAGAACCTGCTGCGTAACAGGAACTTCTGGATCCTGCGGTTACCCCCAGGCATTAAAGGAGATGTCCCAAAGGTAATGCCTTCAGGTCTAGGTACTACAGCGTGGTGCTTCTTCACCCGGAACTAGTGGACACCAGACCCACTGCCATAAGTCGATTCTGACTCATAATGACTTCACATAGGGTTTTCAAGGCTGTGAACTTTTACACGGGTGCAGAGCAGCAATGGATTTGAACTGGCAGCTTTGCGGGTAGCACTGCTCAACAGTTACCCAACAGCACCACCAGGGCTTCTTGAAACTTCTCAGGCTGTGGGAACCAGAAGGTTGTTTTGTGTTTCTCTGAGGGAAGCGCTGTGTGCTTTAATTCCATGCCTGTGTGAAGTGCCCCATCTTCAGACTGGGAAGCTTTCGGTTCCAGAGTTGATTACTTGGCAGGTGGATTTTTTTTTTTCTCTTCTTGCTCAATTCCCGAGTCAGTTTTTCTTTCTTGTCTGCCAGAATCTTGGTGTGGAAACTAAACCAAGTCCTCGTGGAATCCGTCTGTGGAAGCTGTCGGGAATTCTGGTGCGAAAGGGAGGAACGGAGGGATGTGGAGACAACTGGTTAGTCTGAGGATGCAGCGGTGGTAGGACCCTAGTGTAGGTGTGGAGCCTGCCCTTCTGCATCCTTTGCTGCGCTGCCAGTTTCACCCCAAAGGGAATAACCAACCGTTGCTCTTACACTTTGACATTTGGTTTCCAAGCATGGCTGTTTATTTACTCGTTTATTCATTCAACAAGTGTTTCTTAAATACTTAACTATTTATTCTATGTCTTGAAGACATAGATGTGAACAGTTCATATGAACTTAACTTTTCTGGAGCTGGGGTTTTAGTAGGGAAAGAAAGGCAGTTAAAAAACAACAAGACAAATGTGACTGATAGAAGAAGTCACAGTGCCGTCCAGGGACCGAGAGTGAAGTCAGGGAAGCGCTCACGAAGGAGCAGGTAGGTGAGCTGAGAGTACTGCACAGTCCAGGGAGAGGAGCTTTCCAGGCAGCAGAGGGAAATGGCTCACTCTGTGAGTGAATGGGAGCAGGACTAGGACACGTGGCGAGGGGCCTGGTTTTAGGGTCATGCTTTCAGGCTCCACCTTTTTGTAAGAACTAACCAGAGCACTTTTTCTTTGCTTTGCTTTAAGGAGCCCTAGCGGTGCTGTGGCTTAGGCATTGGGCTGTTAACTGGGAGGTTAGTGGTTCAAACCCACCAGCTGCTCTGAGGGAGAAAGATGAGATGGTCGGCTCCCACAGAGATTTAAGCAGTGGGCTCCGTGTTGGTTTGGAGGCTTGTACGTTCAGAGGAGTCTCACAACTAGCGGTTCTGACTTCGTAGATCACTGTGGGCTGTAAGCGTGAATCCTTTTCCAGGTGCACAGATGATGCCAGTAGATGACAGCTTGTGAACCACTGGCTTAGGGCATGAGACTTGGGGGAAGTTTGGAGGATTTTAAGCAAAGGAATTCTACCTGGTTTCCATGGTGTGAGAGCCCCTTTTTGGTTGTGGCACGGAGAAGGACTCCGGCCGAGCTGCAGGCACTGGCTGTGGACGGGTCAGCCCTCTGGCTATTTGTAGAACTGGGTTTGGGGGCAGGCTGACGGGTTGATGCGGGCGGATTCTTGATTGTTTGCTGGCTTTTTCCTGGCACAGGTTTGTTTAATCAATAACCTTTCCTTTTCGAGAGCGACCTCAAGGATTTGGAGATGGGTGGCCTTCACTGGAAGGAACTGGTGAAGGATCCCTGGGGGTGAAGTGAATTGTGTGTTGTGCTGTTCACTGTAAGGTCAGCAGTTCAAACCCACCATCCTTTTTTAGGGAGAAAGCGGGAGCTATCGGCCCCATAAAGACGTAGCCTCTGAAGCCCTCTGCAGCAGTCCTACCCTGCCCTGTAGGGCCGCATGAGTGAGGCGACCTGGCGGCAGTGGGTTTGGAGCAGTGGGCAGCGCACTCAGGGCCAGAGAACAGGTGACTCGAGCAGTCAGCACCCTCCTGGGACCCCAGGCTGTGTACAGACAGATCACTTCGTCTCTGCAGAGGCCAGGTCCCTAGTTTCAGCATCGCAATAAATGGCCACTGCTGCACAGCTCTGCCAGGGCTGAGTGGGAGGCAGGGAAAGAGCCCCAGTCTTCTAAAAGGAGGTCTTCACCCATCGACTCCTGCTTCTCTGTCTGTCTGTCTGTCAGCTTTGCACACGCCCGGTGGTTCTCACTGCCATCTTGGGTGGTCGGGCCTGCAGCCTTCTTCCCTCAGGTCTGAGGAGGACCTCTAGGGGTTCTGTGTTCCTGGTGGCATTCTGGAAGGAAAGGCAGTGCTTGTGCCCAGGTCATGGTCTTGAAGCCCCGGCCCTTGGCCTTTTTGCCCTCATTTTATCAGATGCACAGTGCGGTAAGATCAAAGGATGTAGGAGGCCCCTGAGGTCCTCACTTGCACTCACCCAGCCTGGGTCTGGGCAGGATGGAAAGAGGAATGATAAAGGCTCTAGCTTACGAGGGATAGAAAATCTGGTTGGGGAGAAAAAAACTGACGCAAATGAAGCAATTAGGGAAAAGCTATTGTTTAATATTATTGAACAGACCCTAGAATCTCAAGAGATCTGTTAACTTTATGACAGTGGGGTTGTCGACCAGAAACTCCTTGGACCATCTCATGGATTTAGACACAGCAGCCCCTGAGACTATCCATCATTCAGGGAGCAAATAGCCTTACCTTTCTCCCTTGAAGCCACTGGTAAGTTTGAACTGCTGACCCTGAGGCTTAGCCTGGCCCACGGTGCCACCAGACACATCAGCAAGTTCTGATCTTGTAAATACCAGGCGGAGCCGGTGTCCAAGGGAGGCTGGGTGGAGACTGGGGAGCTCGCTGGAGAAGAAGAAAGGAAAGAGCCAATTTCCCAGCTCCATGCAGGCTGGTCTTGGTGATTTAGTCATTTCCCCCTGGGTGGAAGCAGTTTGTCTGGTGTCCCCAGTGGGGTCCGGCTTCCCACTCTGATTGTAGAAATAGCACATCCTGTTGTAGGCTGCGACTCTGAGCCCTGAGCAGACCAGCCTGGTGTCATGACAGTCTTGTGACAGGCTCCTTTTGAGATCAGAGCTCCAGGGCCTGAATACCCTCAGATGAGCTGACCCAGTGGGGGTCCAGACCCTGCTGAAACAGGGCTTCCAGGACTTTGCTGCAGCAGGTGAGGTCCTCAGAGGTGGAGGGCCCCAAAATTAACACTGGGGTCACCCTTGGGGGTCCAGGAGTTGGGGTGCTCTTGTCCTCTGTCACAGGGTTCTCACAGGAGACAGACAGGAGCAGTCCAGCATTTGGGCTGACCATACCTCCCATCAAGGGAGGGATCTTGATGAAGTGGTGGGCAGGCACCGAACTGCAGGGGTACTAGGAGTCCAGTCTGGCCTTTGTCCTGGGAGCCACCCCATCTCATGAAGCATGGAGCCCCTGTCCTGAGCTTTTCCACTCAACAGATGACTGGCAGGGGACTTTGCTGTCCCCATTTCCCCCTTCTCAGACCCCACCCTCTGATATCCTGAGTGTGTTTCCTTATAACTCCTCTACTTTTTGTCAGCTTGCCTCATCTAGGATGTCCTTACATCTTAAAGGACTAGTTCAAAAGGCACCTTTCATAGTGTCTTCACTGATGTCACCCTTAATGGCTTGCAGATTCTCCTCTCACTCACTCTCCAACCTCTTGCCCACCTATCCTGTTTGGCCCATTTACAGCCTCCCTGCCCTTCAGGATTGGTCACATCTCCTGTCTGAAGTCATCCATCCCCTTTAGTTAAGTTTTCCAATGGTGGTGTTCAGGTCCCTAAGTCGGCCTTTCTTAGTGCTCTCTATGGCAGAAACTGTGTTTTTATCATCTTGGTGCTTAGTGGGTAGGCAAATACGTCCTGTTAAGCGAAGTGGTTTGTTCTATGTGCTTGTGCTTCCACGCACTTGTGCCTCACAGCCTCATAGGATGGAGGTTTGTGGCCTTCTCCGTGGAGGTCGTCCGGCATCTGCAGCTTCCCTGTAACCCCTCGCTACTGAATGCTGGGCCTCGGGAGGAACTGAGCTGTTCTGGCCAGGGACTAAGCCTGGTTGGTGCTTCTGCTTTCAGGTGCCTGTGACTTTTGATGACGTCTCCATCTACTTTTCCACCCCAGAGTGGGAAAAACTGGAAGAGTGGCAAAAGGAACTGTACAAGAGTATCATGAAGGGCAACTACGAGTCCCTCGTCTCCATGGGTGAGGCTGAGCCAGCCCCTCGGAAGGGTTTCAGCATCTCCAGGGAGCTTGACGCTGCCCCGTCCTCTCCATCCTTATTGTTGCCTGCCCTTCAGATTGAGCGTTCATGGCCGTTTAACATAGGAAACCATGTTTCCAAGTGTGGAGGGCAGGCTTCCCCTGGGTGCCCTGGGCAGGGGCTTGGTCCCCCTGTGTACACTCTCTCTTTCCGTGGCCATGGCAGGTAGGCAGTGCTGAAGGAGCTTGTGTGCCCTTTCTACACATCACAACTTTCCTGACCCGCAGCTCCTGGGTGATGGGTGGCAGCGGGAAGCCGATAGGTGGGGGCAAGTCCTGTGGTGCCCCAAAGGAAGCCCCTGTGACTGCATCTCCGAGCCGCCATTGCAGCCTCATCAGCCCCCGCTGTGCCCCGTCTCTTGTTTCCTCTAGATTATGCCATGAACCAACCTGACGTCTTAGCTCAGGTCCAACCAGAAGGAGACCATAACCCAGGGGGCCAGGCGGGGCCGCAGGAGAGTGAGATCCCCACAGACCCAGGTGAAGGTGAGTGAGACCACAAGTTGGCCATTCCTGGTTGTGGACGGGTTGGGCATGTCAGCTTCTAACTACAAGGTCAGCACTTCAAACCCACCAGCTGCTAGATAGGACAAAGATGAGACTCCCTGCTCCCCTCAAGATTTATAGCCTCCCAAGCCCACAGGATGGTTCTACTCCCTCCATAGGGCTGTTCTGCATCAGAATTGACTTGATGGCTTTACATTTGGATTGAGTCTCCCTTTTCAGTAAATCTCATGCAGAGCAGTCCTGAGGGGGAGAACAGACAAGTGTAAAATTAGGGGAAATCGGAGCCTCTCCTCGCACTTTATGGCAGGAGCCAGACTGTAGGCCACCATGCACATGTGCTTGCTCGCATGTCTGCTCGTTATTGACTCTCTGGTGGACTTCCTATAACTTTCCCCGAGAAGTTCAGGTGGAATAATAATGCTGAAAGTCCACTAGAGTCCCTGTCTCTTAGGGAAGCCATGGATTCCAGCATCTTTTTAAAGCCAATTCAGTTTTGTCATAGTTCAATTGGAAATAGACTTTTGGACAAAGCTTAGAGTCATCAGCAAACCAGCATGCTTATTTTCACCTGCTAGTTCAAGTCCCTGAAGCCAGTCTCTTCTCTCCTCTCAAGTAGAACCTGGTATTTCAACATCAGACATTCTGTCTTGGATCAAACAAGAGGAAGAGCCTCCGGCTGGGGCCCCACAGGAGGTGAAGGAGAGCGAGTTGTACTCCAGACCCTATGTCGGTGAGTGAGGCCAGGTCTGGGAAACCGTGGCTAGAACTGAGCTGTGGTGGGAAGGAAGGAGGGTGGGTAGGTGGGTAGGTGGGGTAGAATCAAGAAGAAGCAAGTTAGAAATGAAGCCAAAAGTTTTTTGATGTACCCTATAAGCAATAATTGATAACTTTTCTTTCTTTTAAATGTTAAGTTTGTGTTCATGTATCACTCTTACTCGTCATCTGGTTTCTGAGTCACACTGCATTTTTGGAGGAAAACATGGTCTATGGCTGTACCTGTAATGACACTTTCCCCTGCTTGTTGAGTAAGGAGCTCTGCATTTGTGTTCTGTGTGGTTGAGAACATGCAAAGCCAACCACCAGCCAACTCAGCAGCTTCTTTGATGAGTCACAGGGAGTCTCCAGGTCCGAGGGGCTGGGTGCCGTGGCCAGGTCACACAGCCTGTACCATCACGTCCTCCCACGTGGGTGCTGTGAGACTCCAGGAGGCAAGAATGAAAGATGCTGCCTTCCTGCGTGATGGGGCCTCACATTGGGGGCATGTCCACACCAGGTGTGCTTGCCCAAGCCCAGTGCCAGGACGGACCAACTAGAGAAATAAGAGAAATGACAACAAGGGAGGCAGCAGTTTGGTTTAAGTATTTGAGAAGCCTGAGAAGGTGGTAAAGACAGGCTAGACCCTGGAAGATGGGTTTACTGGGTTGGGAGAGGATAGGATAGGTGCAGAAAGAGGGGGCCAGACACTGACAACAGGAAGGGCTTGCCTGGGGGTCTGGGGGGACCAGGAGCAGGTGATACTCCATAGTTGGCTTTGTGGCAGCGGTGGACTACAGGGAATCTTGCAAGGCTCCTGGGCAGAGGAGAAACACTGAGAATGTTGGCAGATTGACGCCAGGGCTTTGTGTTGCCAGCAAGAGAGTGTGGCTGAGGCACAGCTTTGGTTTCTTGGTCGTTTGCTGCCCAGCTGCCGGTGCAGGTGCCACTCTCAGCCTCCAGTGCGGGGGCTGCCTGAGTGGCTGAGGGCAGCAGGCAGCCTGACGACTCCTTGCCATTGGGCACAGGCCTAACTCTGGGGCTTTCTTTCAGACGGGGAGCTGGTGGTCAAGGCAGAAGGCCTTGCTGGTGCGCCCCTGTGCTCAGAGGTTCCGGTCACCTTCTCCTCTGCTCCCGCACCCACAGTCAAGGACACCTTCCCAGACGTGACTTACAAAGGCCACCAGTCAGCACCCATAGTGCCCTTCGCCCATCCTGCTGCTGACCTGGCTGGAGCCTCTGAGGGCCTGGTGACTTTCACCCAGCTGGGGAACTACCCACTGGCACCTCCCACTGGTGACCCGGTGTTCTCAGGCCGCCTCTGTGGCAAGAGTCTCGGCCGGGATGCTCTACTGACCCGTGAGTGTGGCCACACTGGAGAATGCCCTTCGCCCTGTGCCCCTCGCCCCAAGCACTTTCCACAGCCGGCTGGCCTTGGCGGTGTTCCCCAGGACTCTGCCCATGAGGCCCCCCCCACCTGCCCTCACTGTGCCCGGACTTTCACTCACCCGTCTCGGCTCACCTACCACCTGCGAGTGCACAGCAGTACCGAGCGCCCCTTCCCGTGCCCCGATTGCCCCAAACGCTTTGCCGACCAGGCCCGGCTGACCAGTCACCGCCGAGCCCACACAAGTGAGAGACCCTTCCGCTGTACCCAGTGCGGCAGGAGCTTCAGCTTGAAGATCAGCCTCCTTCTGCATCAGCGGGGCCACGCACAGGAGCGGCCCTTTTCATGCCCCCAGTGTGGCATCGATTTCAATGCCCACTCGGCGCTGATCCGCCACCAGATGATCCACACGGGCGAGCGCCCGTACCCCTGCACCGACTGCAGCAAGAGCTTCATGCGCAAGGAGCACCTGCTGAACCACCAGCGGCTGCACACGGGCGAGCGGCCCTTCCAGTGCGCCCACTGTGGAAAGAGCTTCATCCGCAAGCACCACCTCATGAAGCACCAGCGCATCCACACGGGCGAGCGGCCCTACCCCTGTGTGCACTGTGGCCGCAGCTTCCGCTACAAACAGACCCTCAAAGATCACCTGCGCTCCGGCCATGGCGGTGGCTGTGTGGGTGATGGTGACCCACCTACACAGCCGCCGGAGCCTCTGGGGCCCCTCGTAACTGAACTGGAAACCTCTGGCCTAAGCGTAGGCACTGTCGGTTTGGAGGCCAGCCATTGGTATGGGGAAGGAGGTGCAGGGGGTGGGTTGTGAATCTTTCCATTTGTGGTGCTCCGAGCTCACAGTGGGCAGAGGGTCCCGGAGAAAGCCCGAGTGAAGATTCTCTGGCTCTTTGGGGCCTTGAGTTCTGGAATGCCACCCCATGACAGGGTCCCTACATTGTGAAGACCTGTGAGCCCCGGAGAGGATCCCAGCATCCTCATCTTGTCAACGTCTTCATGTCAGCCAAGAGGCTGACGCAGGATGACGAGCTGTCAGAGCCTGGGGCGTGAATAGGCCTCAAAGTCGAGGCCTGGTGTGAGGCACGAGAACAAGAACCTGGGACTGAAGCCTGTCCGGTTCCTGAGTGGGTAAAGGGAGTGTTGGAAAGGGCACCTGCCCAGCCACCGTCTGCCCTTTCCTCACTTCTCTTTATTCCCGCTGCAGTCTCTTCATTCAAATCTCCATACTTCACTCTTTCCGTGTTTGCTCTCGGCCTGAGAGGACAGCACACCTGACTTTCAAAGCCTTGTCAGGAGAACAATTCTTTTCTTCCGTTGCTTGATTTCAAGCAGCTAGGCTCCTGCCGGCATTTAAGCTTCTACATACCTTTGCCAAGGTTGGAGTTAAGAAACCAAAATTGGGGTTCCGTGGCCCAGCTTGAAAAGCTGGAGATGCTGAGAAATCACTGGCACATCACTCAGAACAGTCTAGAACTCGTGTCCACGCTGTTTCTCAGAGTCAATCACATCAAATTCCTATCTTTCTAAGCCAATAAACTGGCTTATCCATTCCTAGTGTCTCATCATCTTTACAGCCATCAGAAGAGGTGACAGAACTTTCTAGAGCCATCATGGAGTTTCAGAAAGCATGGTGGACTCAGAGCCTCCACCTCCTTGATAGTGAGATGCTGGTAGTGTTAGTCACAGCTTTTTTAGCCACCAGAGTATCTCCACCCCAGCCGGCGAACCCTCATTGACCGTGGACAAATTGAGGGTCTTCTGAAATAACTTAGGGCTGAGACCTGTACACAGACGAGGGACAGCGTGTCCCTCCTTGTCTTGCTTTTACGGACCTTGACTACCATGTTTTCTTTGTCAAGGTTTAATCACCTGAGGATATTCTAAGCCTAGCCCTCCTTCCTCTCCCTTCGTGACTGGGGATAAGTCCCTTTTCCCAGACAGATTTTAAATGCTCTGCAAGATGAGACTGTTGAAAAGGGGGGAAGGCGAGCCTCTAGAAACTAAAAAAAAAAAAAGCAAACCCTGTGATACAACCCTTCTCTTGCCAAAATTCTGTCTATCTCTGGCTTCTGTCCAGGCAGCGCCAAATAAAACAGCAAAATCAAAGCAGACATTCCTGCTGCAACTTGACTGAAATGATTGTAGTTGTTTTCCTCTTGCGTCAAGCCTGAGGTAGAAGACAGGCAGAGAAGGCAGAAACCCTAAGTATGGGGCAGAAAAGTGGTTGATTCTCTTGTTTCCCTCGGATCTTTCCATGAAGCCCAGAACTAGGTCTGCGAAGATTTGCACAGGACACCGGATGAAGTGACGGGGGAGAGGGGCACTTGACTTTCCTCATCACCTAGCCCACTCTTCACCCTGCCTCACTGTAGGTAGCCAGCATAGCAAGAGGTGCTGCCCCAGCTACGTGCACTGGGAAAACTGTCTGAACATGCTCTTGCATCCGCTGCTTGCCGCACAGTACCAGAAACCACGGAAAACAGGCATGAGACCCTGTCTGTTGTAGCTTTTAACTCACAGGTGTCGGCGATGAGGAAAGCAGGGTTGTAGAACAAACCAAGAAAAACAATGGGCGGAACCACAGCATATTAGGATTAAGAGCTTTCTCGCCAGAATCTAGACCTTTGTCATGGGAGGAGGAGGGGTCGGGAGGGGTTGGCGTCTAGGGATCCAAAAGGCAGAGCTCCGATCTGATGGGCAGCCCACTAGGAACCTGAGGTTAGCCTCGGCTTTGTCACGCTTTGATTAACTTGCTGCCTAGTTTATTCTGATTCATAGGAACTCTATAGAACTGCCTGCAGGGTTTTCAAGGTTGTAAATCAACACAGCAGGGACGGCCTCATTCTCTTTTGGAGTATCTGGTGGGTCAGTGTCTACAATCCCAGTTAAGCAGCTTGATGTTTAACCCACAGTGTCACTAGGACTTCGTGTACCTTGATTATCTTCATGAAAGTAGAGGAAAATGGAAGGGCCCTCTAGCTGGTGAGCCTTTTCTGAATGGATTTGAGCATTTGTCAGATAGGGGAAATTCCTACACCGGTGTGATTTTGCACTAGACAACACCTAAAATTCCTTTCCACTCCAAGCTTATCAATGAAAAAGACAATTAAAAATGCCACAGGTATTTTCCACACTTACTTAGAGCCAGCTTGGCACCCAAACTTTAGCAAAAAGTGAACACAACTCAAATGCCAGTCATTTAAGAAAGAGCCAAGAGCGCGAATGAAAGAAATGTGCAGGCCATTCGAGGAAGATGAAAGTGGGCGTTATCCTAATCCTCGGCCCTAGCAGAAACCGGGAAGCCAACCATCGCACCGCTGGCTCTTTCCCTAAACCAGGCTCTTTCCCTAAACCAGTTCCTAGTAGGTAGAGTTCCAGGCTCGCTGTAAAGAATTAGGATTCCAAAGTTTATACGTAAAATGGATCCGGGAAAAAGAGAAGCTAAGCTCTAACAGAAATGCCCAGTGTGTGGAGAACCTCTTGGCCTATCAAGGCCTCTTGAGAGAAACTTTTAACGGTAGAGTTAAAGATGTGCCAGAGGATGTGTATTCTAGGAAAGAGGAAAACTACTCTTGGGCTATTCCCCAGCATGACTCCGGCTGAGAAGTTAGCTCGCTCACAAGTGGGCACCCTATCCCTGATCTTTGAGTATTGGAGCAGCCATTGGATCCAGGGATCGAGCATAACCAGGTCCACTCTGCTTACAAGTACATCATTGGCACTGCCCAGTGAACCTTGGGTTCAGCCACAGACCTGGAACAAAGTGAAAGCTGATTGCTTGTCCAGGAAGTGGAAGGCGATGACTCCAGTCCTGCTGCCTTGGTAGTGGAAGTGCTCGGGCTCCATGCCGTCCAGAGGAGCGCGGTTCCACATAAACCTCTCGATGTCTCGAGCCAGTCCACAGAGTCCCTGTTGGAGCTTCTGTTGGGCTGCTCTCCAGAGCACCTGGAAAAGACAACCTTACCTGCCCTAACTAGCACCTGGCCCTGGGCCTCCCCAAGGAGTAACACATTTCCTGTCTCAGTGCTGCAGGGCCTCCCAAACATGTCCTCTCTGATGAGATTCCTCTTCAGAAGGATCCCTGCCCCCTTAGTTTTAGCTTCTTAGTCAAAAGGCAGTTTCTAGGGAATGACAAGCTCCTAGGGAAGGGGGCCACTGTCTGATGTGTCCTCCCTTGTGAGGTGTGGCTGGTAACACCATACCTGTGTTCTCACTCATCTGGGCAGCCAAGGAAGAAACTCTCAGGGTTTACATAGAGGCATTTTTTCTTGGGACATGCCAACCTCTTACAAGCAAAAAACACTTGAGTTACATTTGGTGGAACGAGAAGCACATGGACTTTTCACAAGGGGTCAGTGGCTTAGCACTGCTCGATATTAAAAGCAGACTTGAGTTGGGGCTAGATTGAAATCCAAGCTCCACCACAGACAATGGATGTGTTCTGTAATCCTCCTCAGTTCCTCCCTGTGAGACAGGATAATGCCCACTTCTCAGAGGTGTTAGGAGATGTAAGGGATTGAGCACAGAGCCCGGCATGTAGGTGACTGCTGGGAAAGCAGTTTAACAGGACCCAGTAGGGCAGGGTGGGCAGTCTTTGGCCAGGCGGTATTGAGAACGGGGGCTGCTTCACCAAGTGGCTTCTCGTGCTGTTGCAGCTCGTCCCCTACTGTTGTCCTTTGCTTCCACTAGTCCTCAGCTTCGCAAGTGTCAGTGTTCCCTGCATTTGTGTGGCTCTGGCATAGCTTTCGTTCCTGTTCTGAGAGGGCTCCCTTTCTATTCCAGCCCCCGGAGTTAGTGCTTATCCTGCTTCAAGCACTGCTGTGGATTCCCTGGGGAGCGGCCTGTTGGATCCTGTGAACAGGTCCACAGTGACACAGCAGTATCTCGCACACTGCCAGCATGAAGAAGAAATGTTTAACTTGAGAGACTTCCATCTTGTGCGCAGTTGGTCAATTAAATGGCCTCCCACCAAAGAAGGCAGATGGCCACAGGCCAGTCGGAAGTGAAGGTGCTGAAATGCCCTCAATGATTGCCAGGTTACATTTCAAATAAAATATTTGCTAAGGGCTCAGGTTGTGTGGCTTTGTGTGTTCACAAAAACTGACCTGTCAGGAATAGGCCATATGCTACCAGGCACTGTGGAGTCAATGGGGGGAGACTGCTAGGGAGGATGGGGGTGGGTTCTGGGCCTACCTAAATATCGCCACTGTACTTGTTGGGGTTAAACCCCCTGACTTGTCGTACTAATGTTTAGAGAGTTTACCTCCTGGGTCTTGCTCTCATCTTGCTTCTCCTCGAGCGCTGCCCTGGGGGCAGTGCCCCAACATTGCAGAATAGGCATCGTGGAGAGACGTGTGAGGAACCAATGTTTCTCCCAAGTCACAAACTTCTAGCAAAACTAACGTTTTCATTCAAAATGTTTAGCATTTTTTTAAAAAACAGGGAGAAATAAAAGGAAATCAGAATGATTTTGCAAGGGGACAGTGTGTGTGTGTCACTCAGTGGTCATTTCCCCTGTACATTTGTGTGTCATGAAATGCCACCATCCAGATGGCATCAAGTCCATTTTGGATCCTGGCGACCCGTGTGTTTCAAAGCACTGTGCTCCATGGGGTTTTCAAAAGTAGATGCTGAGGGACTTTCAGCGGACTTGAACTTTATTTTTGTTAGGCTCTAAGCATATTAACTATGCCACCCAAGGGCTCTATAATAACACTAATTGATAGTTTTATGAAGATAAGGATTGATAAAAATGGGGGGGGAGATAAGGATTATTGTAATGAGAAAGGTTATTGAGTGGAATTCAGGAGTACACAGCTCATGGAAGCAGTAGTCAAGAAATCAAATGATGGGTATTGGGAAAATCCTTGGCATGAGATCTCTTTAAAATGTTGAAGAGTAAGGATGTCACTTGGAAAGCTTAGGTGCATCTGACCCAAGTTATGATATTTTGGATAATGAATAAGGAAGACCAAAGAATTGATGCATTCAAATTGTACTGGTGAGGAAAATTGTAGGGACCGCGGACTGCCATAAGAACTAACAAACCTATCTTGAAAGATGGACAGCCAGAATGCTACTTGGAAGCAAGGGTGAGAAGACTTCGTCTCACGTACTTTGGACAACTTACCAGGAGAGACCAGTCCCTGCAAAAAGACATCACGCTTGGTAAAGTGGAGGGTCAGCAAAAATGGAAGACCCTCTAGAAGATGGGTTGACCCAGTGGCTGCAGCCATGAACTCAAAACAATTGTGAGGATGGTGCGGGACCTGACAGTGTTCTGTTGGTTATGGTTTGCCATGGTGATGGCACCTGTCAACAGCAGGGTTTGAATCTTGCTCCATTTTCTGGGCTCTACTGGAAGAATAACACCTGCTTTACTCAGTTTACATTGGTGTGAGGATAGAATAAGGAAAGCGCTTCAAGTGTTTGGATTCTGTTTAGGGTAATGGAACTAGTGGTGACTTGCAAGAATTTTGAAAGTGCTTTGAAGCACATATGAGGGTAAGTCAAAAAGAATGAGAGGACTTAAAAATGCTCATGGAAAAGCAGGATTAGTAGATAACGGGATTTTTCCACAAACTTTTTGAAGCCTCATTTTGCTACTAGATCTTCAATTCATACATACATGAATTTATTCCAAATAAAATGTATTTAAGTATATCTATGATAAGCGAATGGCTGCAGACAAGTTCTCTCAGCCATACACTTGTCTCAGTCTTCTTGGAGTAGGTTTAGTGGCTTCCAGAAGGATCTGTTGGACAGTTCAATTCAAGGCAGAGTGGTCAGTTCAGAAGGTTATGGTGACTGCTCATGGAATTCAAAGGAGTGCTCTGGATAGATTTTGGGAGCTCCTGACGAAGGTCAAGGATTGCAACTTTTGGTACGGTTTACACCTCAATGTAAAGAGGACCAAAATCCTCACAACTGGACCAGTAGGAAACAGTAGAGATGGAGAAAAGATTGAATTTGTCAAGGGTTTTGTCGTGCTTGGATCCACAGCCAATGCTCATGGAAGCAGCAATCAGGATATCAAATGATGAACTGTATCGGGTAAATCTGTACAAGATCTCTTTAAAGTGTTGAGAAGCAAGGCTGTCGCTGTGAGGACTAAGGTGTGCCTGTCTCAAGCCTAGTGTGGCGCTGAGTGGTGGTATGGTTACACATTGGCTGTGATCCGCACAGTTGGCAGTTTGAAACCACCAGAAGCTGCTCAGGGAAAGACTGGGCTTTCCATTCCTGTAAAGAGTTACAGTCTTGGGAAGCCCCAGGAGGTCACTGTGAGACAGCATTAACTCAATGGCAGTGAGGGGGTTGGTTTTGGTCTCAAGCCAGGGTATGTTCAATCACCTTATGTGCATGTGAAAGTTGGACATTGAGTAAGGAAGACTAAAGAAGAATTGATGCATTTGAATTATGCTGGAGAAGAATATTGAAAGTATCATGGACTGCCAAAAAAGCAAACAGATCTGTCTTGGAAGAAGTACAGCCAAAACGTTCCTTAAAGGCAAGAATGGTGAGCCTGTCTCCTGTACTTTAGACATACCAGGAGAGACTGTAGTATGAGGTGGGTGGGGCCAGCCCCCACCACTAACCATGGGTTCAGTATGCACAATTGTACGGTTGAGATATATGTATTATATTAAAGTCATCGAGAACATGAGCGATAGAAGAGAGAGTCAAATAATGGAGTCAGACACATTACATGGTAGAATTGCTCAACTCAGCCCCGGTTGGTGGTCCACGTGGAGAGAGGGGGAAGGGAAGGAGGACAAGGAAAAAAGGGAAACAGAGGAGAGGGGGAAGAGAGGAGAAAGAGAGGCCAGCAAGAGTGGGGGCGAGAGAGGAGAGAGAGTGATCTCTATTGGTAACCCAGGCCTATATACCTTTTGGGGGAGTGCAAGCCCACTAATTTTTTTTGCATTCACTCATCTTTTTTTTTTTTT